GTGGACAACCAATATATGGGGCACTCTGGAGGGGACAGCTAATAATTAGTTGTCCCAATAAGGGTGCCTCTTTACATTGGTTGTTTCCATCAGCGTGCCTCTTTATATGGATTCTGAAAGTGAGAGGGCACTCTAATGGGGACAACCAATGTAAGCGGGTACTCTAATGTGGACAATCAATGTAAGGGGGCACTCTTACATTGATTGTCGGTGAGGACACAGAGTCTGCTCACCTACAGGTATCTCCTGGCAGCCAGGAACTGTTATGTACCAGACCACCACTGGGTGGTGCTGGAACCTGCAGCTCCAGTGCTCACCTGCAGGTGTCTCCCAACTGCCGAAACTTAGCCATCACCTGGTGCTTCCTGGGAGGATATTTAAACCCTCCCTGCAGTCAGGATGATGGCTCAGTATCCTGTTGTTTCCTGCAAATCCTGATACCAGCTTGTTGTCCTGAGCTCTGTTCCCTGCTTGTTGTCCGGAGCTGTGATCTGCTTATGTTCATGAGTCCTGTTTCTTCCTCGTACCCTGACCTTTTGTCCCTTAGTTCCCCTGGTGTTTTGCCTTGCTCCCTTGGTTTACTTGCCTGTTACTTTTTGCATGCGGGTTGGTTTAGATGTAGTTAGTTACTCTTACTTGTTTCTGTTTATATTATTTTGGTTGGCATATTAAAACTATATATAAACTCATTTGCCTTGTCTTGTGTGGTCACGCATTTGGTCCTCCTGGGTACCTGCGCAGATGTGGGGGTCACCTGTGTCGGTATCCCTGACAAAGTCTCTATACTGAGTGTTCCTGTCCATTCATAAACTGTATAATTTACTGTGTCCACAATTATGAATGATCAGGAAGTGATGCAGAGCATATATACATATTATTTTACAAATAAACATTTAATACATGACACACAAGTTCTTTAGGTTATCTAAAGAGTGAGCACAGCAATCTCCTTTCAGTTACTTTGTCTCTGATTAAGGAAGGGGAGAGGTCCCTGCTTTGACTCATTCGCGTGTGCATGTAAATTTCATTTTGGTTATTTGCAATAAGAGGTAAATTCTGAAAACCTTGAAATATATACAAAGACATAAAAGAACACTAAAGGTTTTGTTAACTAGGAGCTTGACCTTCCTCCAGCAGCCCAGACATTGTGCCAATTTACAGCCCTGAGCTCCGGCAGGAGAGACAGGTCAGTCTCTGTGGGGGCCATCGAGCCTGACTATGCGCTAACATTTCTGCTTTGGCAGGGAGTGAAAATGCAAGTGAATAATAGCACAAATACCTATCACCAAGAGGGAATTTGTTACTTTTATAACAACTTATCAGAGGGAACTCAGATTCTTACTTCATGCTGCCTCATTATAGGGATGGTCCTGCCCCAGCTATATTTCCAATCTCATCTCAAAATATCACCCTAACCGCCCTCTCCACTCCTCCCAAGACCTGCTCTCTACCTTTCTCGTCAACTCCTTTTATGCTCGCCTTCAGGATTTCTCTAGAGCCTCTCACATCCTCTTGAACTCCCTACCCAACCTGTCTGGCTGTCTCCTACTCTGCCTTTAGTTGAACCCTGAAAACTCATCTCTTCAGGGAAGCCTATCCCACCTCCACCTAACAACTGACCTTTCTTTCTCAAACAATTGAACACAGCTGTCTTTTGTATCACTTGGCACTCCCTTTTAGATTGTAAACACTCACAGGTAGGGCCCTCCTTACCACCTTGTCTTCAATTGTATTGTGCTTGTAATGTCTTCCTTATATTGTAAAGTGTTGCACAGGCTGTTGGCGCTATATAAATCCTGTATAATAATAATAATAATATGCCCCTGTACCTGGAAGTGCTGGGTGATTTTTATCACTCCAAGCAGGTGAACAGAGTGACATAGGAGAGAAAGAAAGGAGAGTATGTGCTGCCAGGAAGAGGAGGACAGTACACTGCTTCTCCATACATAGACACAGACCGGGTTTGTATTATTCCTGTAGTCACATCAGGACAGTTACCATTGTTACCAGAAAGCTATTGAATGCGAAAAAGAACTTGCTGTTGTTTCTTCTTCTTGGTCTGGAGTGATGACATTAGGAAGGAGAGAGATCCGGCTTTTAGAGATGACTTGTGTATGAGTAAGGAACACAATGGTGGAGGAAACAAATCTCATAAATGGTGCATACAGCAGAGAAACGAAACTTCATTTCAGTCTGGCCACATTCCTCAAATAATATATAGTCTGGCCATAAAATGAGAAAGTGGAGCACCCTTTAGCTTAATGTATATTAGAAAAGCGAGACGCCCCTGCCATACCCCCAATTGTGAGCCACAAAGAGATAATAAACAAAATAATTAAGCTGGCCGTACATTATGCAAATTTCAGCCGGTTTCAGAGGAAATTCGCACAGTGGGTGCTGCTGTCGGCACCCTTTCGGCTGGCATCCCTCGATCCCATCTTGGACAGGCTTGGAGGGCTTCCGATGATTCCAATGCTGAGCGGGCAGGGTGCGCTTGCACACACCCGCCCGTGCGGCTTTCGTCTTCCGAGCACGCCACTAACCCACCAAAAATCTATGCTTTTTCGGCAGGTTTTCCAACGTGCTCGTAAGACAAAAGACGTGCGACCGTACAGTAGAAACGGTTGCACGCCTTCCATACACCTGCCGATTATCGTACAATCGTCAGGTGTATGACCACCTTTAGTGTGATCAGGTCTCCTGCCCTGCCAGACAGGGCTGTGCTATGTGAGAAATCAGTGTAAATCTCAGGGCTGGATGGATGATAGACAGAAATACAAATCCTTTGGCAGGTAAAACATCTCTCATATATGTGTTTCATCCGTGTATTTAGCTGCTTGCCTGGAGTTCAACTTTAAAGTGTTAAGCTGGCCATACACCTGTCAATTTCTTTCGTTACAACCTGTGGGCTGAACGGAAGGAATTGACGCGATTCCTCCATCAACACAAACAGCGTGTCGATCGAGGAATTGACGCTGTTTGCATTGTATTCTAACAGGAGCCACCGGCACCTGTCAGTATACCCGATCAGAGCGGGCGGCTCATTGGCTGCTGGCTCTGATAGTACGAAGATTTTCCAGCTGGCTGAAAGGGAGCCGACGACCCCATACACTGTGCGAATTGTGGTCGTACGTTAAAGACAAAATTCAGCCAGTGTATTGGCACCTTAACAGACATGCTAAGTACATATAGTGAAACAAATAAGTGACATTCAAGTGAATGTAGTACAACTTATATAAATTATACATGGAATGTACAAATATTGGCTGAATGCCAGGCAGATATAAAACACCAATGAATGCAGTTATTATGCACTTATTAAAAAAATCTTGAATCCCCTAATTACTGATACTCAGGTGCACATACAGTAGGTAGTATATAAACCACAAATGTGTCAGTGTTTTAAAAGTAGCTATGTAGATAGATAATATTATGTAATACAGGAATCTCGCTCTGAATGAGATACAGAGAATGATACAAAATCAGAATAGTGATACAAAGTGAGAACAATGTTAAAACAAATGATATAATAATAATAAAGAACGTTGTCAGTTCTGGCTGATGAAGGGGATGAGATTCCCCGAAACACCTCCCTAGATACGGTAACCTTTGTGCTCAAGCTGTCAGACGGATCGAGTTCAGACGAGACCGGATCTGCAGCATTTCTGTTGCCACACAAATATCTACACTTGTGAACGCAATTATTTGTATTTGATATTTCTTAATAAGTGGAACCAAGACACGATGCCAGTGCACTCTTCTATTATTTTAGTAACAAATCATGGAATGTATTTTTCAATGCACCAAGCATAAGTAACTGATATTGGGTCGGTATCACCCTCCTGCCGTTCCTTGTACTCATACTAATTGGGTGTGCAGATGTGCTAACATGCTGACAGAAGGAAAGAGGAGAGAGTTGATCTCATCAGTCTTCTGCTCTTCTGTAGTCTTTAATCTGTATCTGTATCTGACAGTCCAATCTGGTGTATTCAAATCATAAACAGCAAGGTCTTTATGGCTGCCGATAGTGAGGAATGTCCTAAAATGTATGTCTGGGCAAAATTAGAAGGAAAACATTTTTTAATACATCTTTGCAATACAATCACATTTTCCCGTTTTATCCCTTTAAAAATGCTGCACATAGACAAAATCCTGATTAACTGCCAGAAATCCAGTGAGCACCTAACTTCCTGTAGAGCTGATGAAACGTTGCCTCTGCAGCACTGAAATCTTAAAACTAGTAGTCAGCCCTCAACATTTCTCCCCCACTACCATCCCCATTATGTTAATTTGATAAGGAGAGGGGGGAGAGTTCTGTAGTCCAGCAGAGGAGCACTCAGGAAGGGCTGACAACACTGCTTAGTATTTAAGTAGAGAGACACAAGAACTAGTTCATGGTGGGCATACACTGTGCGAATTTCAGCCGCTCCTTAATGAACCAAAATTCGCATGTGGGTGCCGCTGCCAGCACCCTTTCGGCCTGCATCCCTCAATCAGCTGACTGAAGGAGCCAATTAAAAAATCTTTGAATGAACAAAGCTGGTAACCAATGAGCTTCCAGCTTTGTTCAGGTATTCTGACAGCGGCCGGTGACTGCTCTCAGAGTACGATGGAGACAGCAGAAGATTTCTCAATCAACGCTCGTAAGCATGGGTGCAGGAATCTGCTCTTTTTTTTGTTCAGCCCACGGGTTGAACGAAAAACAGAACAGTGTATGGACAGCTTCAGACAATGCCAGCCCTTAGTTCTCAATGTCTCTGTGCAGACTCATTGCATGTTTCTGCTGAAAAGCCCTGAAGGGGGACTTATAACCCTGAAACGCATTGACTTTTAGCTTTAAATTACTTTTACTTCAGATAATCCGAGCTATCCATTCCTTTGACGATCCATTATCTGCTGTACTTATAATTTACCAAAGCATCCTACTAGACCGTGAACACCACACGACCTTTGTTTTCTAGCAAATACATGATAAATAACAGAGACAATGAGCCAGTTTATTCTGAGTTTATTAGTAGCTGGATAAGAGTGTTGGAGTGAGCGACACCTGACTGGCCATACGGATGTTGTAGGAGGTGTTTGCGAAGAACTTGTGTAGAACAGAGCCGGGGGGTGCGGAATATCCCAAATACAGGACTCCCCGGGAGCTCGACTGCAAATAAAGAAAACACAGATGCATCAGTATTGAGGTTGGGAACTCTGTTGCAGCACTGTTGTCACGTTCCAGGGACACTTTGCTGCGGACGTGCTGTGAGAGAGAGTCCATCGTAATTCAGAAGATCACCAAGTGTTACATACCAAATGATGACATACAATATAAATTAAAGCAGATTCAGAGTAACAATAAAGACATATTAATATAAACATTCTCCCTCCGTGCTATAGGGATTAACGTTTGTTGTCTTTTTGAAGATATCTAAAGTCAAAACATTTTGTTTTTGTTGTTACAGGTGTCCTGGGGCTGTTGTGCTTTCATCTCTACACTTTTACCACTACCAGCATTGGGCTTGCTCCTCTGACCTTGAACCTTACTAATCTATTGACCTCCTTCCAGGGGGGATGGGACCCTACTAATCCATAGCTTTTGGGGAACCTCCTTCCAGGGGGGGATGGGACCCTACTAATCCATAGCTTTTGGGGAACCTCCTTCCAGGGGGGGATGGGACCCTACTAATCCATAGCTTTTGGGGAACCTCCTTCCAGGGGGGGATGGGACCCTACTAATCCATAGCTTTTGGGGAACCTCCTTCCAGGGGGGGATGGAAGCCTACTAATCTATTGCTTTTGGAGAACCCCCTCCCAGGGGAATGTACTTGTGGATGTTTTTGATGATACACGGCTTGGTTACTTAATACAATTGTGAGTGTAATATTTGTATAAATATCTACTTCTGGTAATGCACATTAGATGCATTAGTGGTGCCCCTGATGTCTTTTCTTTTTTATTCAGTTGGGGTTTCTCCACACCGATGACATTGGAGCTGTTAATCTACTGCCCTTAACCCTTCTTCTGCCTTCAAAATGGGATAGAATTTACTAATGTTTTTACACTTTATCAAATTTTGACCCCCAGGGTTGAGAGCGCAGCTGCTTTAATATCAGGGCTACCCATAAAGCGCGGATCCACATTTTTTACTTAGTACTTAGCCATCACCTGGTGCTTCCTGGGAGGATATTTAAACCCTCCCTGCAGTCAGGATGATGGCTCAGTATTGTTTCCTGAAACGTGAACCCTGAGTCCCCAGTTCCGGAGAATCCTGCTTTCCGTCCAGAGTCCTGTTACCAGTCCTGTACCCTGTTTGTGCCCCGAGCCCGGTTACCCATTTGCAGGCCTAGATACCACTTGTTGCCATTACCTGCCTTTCCTCTTGTTGCCATTACCTGCCTTTCCTCTTGTTGCCATTACCTGCTTGTCCTCTTGTTGCCATTACCTGCTTGTCCTCTTGTTGCCTTTACCTGCTAGTAGTCTGGGTGATGTTACTTATTTATGTTTGCTTTTGGGTTTTGTTTAGTTTGCGGTTGATTAAACTGTATATATAACATTCTGCCCTGTCCGGTGTGGTCATAAGTGTTTGGTCTGCCTGTGTGGGTACCTGCGCAGGTGTGGGGTCACCTGTGCCGGTATCCTTGACAGTGTGCATTAGACTGTGGCTGTGAACTGAAGGACTCTGGAGGCAAGGATGTGTAGTTGACCAATATTTAGTATGTAACTAACAGTAAAATAGGAAAGAGCTAAAACTCCTTTACATTTGGGCAGTTACACTTACAGTATATGGGAGTTCACCCTTTTTTTTTTATATTTATATATTCAACTGTCCCCATTCCTGTGAAATATCAATCCTTCCAGCTTGGTCTGCACAAGGTTGTACTCCACGCCTCCATAGGAATGAATGGGCGTGCACAGTGCATGTATGGGTCAGTTAGACAAGCGGTTCTTCCATCTTGTCAGCAATATTTTGCTGGTTCAGGAACTGGGGAGTATAAAAGTTAGAAGGGAGGCTAAAAGTGGGAGACTACCATATAAGTGTAGCTCCAAAGGTGCTCAAAATAAATAGTGCAATGGGCTAGAGGTTGTTATTTTGCCTGAAAACATACACTTATCATTATGAATACTGTAAAACTGTGGTATTCCAGACCTGTCCAATCACCAGGAGGTCGGAGCTGGAGGCTGCGGCATCGGAGGCTGGAAGCCAAGGTTTTGCACTGACTGTAGTATCTGTAACCCTGCTTGGTGCTGAGCAGAGGGCGGGGCAAAGCTTCCTGGGATGAGGAGTCTAAGGGTTCCTCTTACTGCCTGCCATACAAACAGATACCTATCAGTTTATCAAAATCAGACTTGCACATTTGTGATGGACGAGGTTCAGCTTTATAGATGACAGTGAAGCTGTCAATGCAACATTCACAACAAACTAGCACAAGGTACCAAAAGGTGTTGGTAGCTACCAATGCCATAGCAAATTTCCCCCTTGTGTCTGGTTTATGCAGCCGGACCCTAATGACATGCCTGGGATTCACCCATCGGCCACTGTGTCTCCCTGCTCCTGCAGCCTCCCGGTATATATGATGGAGATATACCAGGAGGCTGCAGGAGCAGGGACACTCATGATTCTCAGGGGGGTGAAGAAAGAGCAATTAAACATTTTTAAAAAACTTTTACTGTTTGGAGGGGTGGGGGGTGGTGGAGTTCAGGACAAAGTTATTTAGTGTTGGTTGTAAACCCTAAGCATGAAATTGATCCCCTTTAGTCTGTTATATATAAATACCATTACAGATTTTGTTATATCTGTGCAATATAATAGATATGAAATCATTGTTGACGTGGGAAAATATCACACCTTGATCCGCTTTGGCTACTTAGTGGTGATTGCAACTTTACAAATATATTTTGTTTTATACAATGTATCACCAATCAGGTTCTCAGGGATAAAACTTAAAATAATATTTTATTTGTTAAACATAAGACACAAAATATTACTAATGGTTGGAAGCGTGTTTTATGCTTAATAAATAAAATGTTCTTTTAACTTTTTTTCCTAAGATCCTGGCTGGCGATACATTGTAGAACAAAATATATTTATTATCTTTCTGAAATGTTGCGATTATCAGCTAAAGTAAATGGGGATGTGATATCATTTTACAGCATGCTGGTGTTCGCACTTACAATAAGGTTAATTAATTTTTGTTTCCTGTTCATTAACAAAATAAAAAAAGTACCTTCTGATCCTGCCAGAGAGCTTCCTACACTGTTACCAGTCACATTGTTCCCCGGTCCCTGTACACTACAGGACACCAAACACCCTCCTCCCACCCATATGCTATCGAGATGAGCAGAGAGCAAGCTGGCTCCTGTGATGGACTACAATCTCATGTTTAGTTTACTAATTTGTATTGAAGTTATAGTCCATCACGGGAGTGAGCTTGGATTGGTTACTAATTTACAACACACACAGGGACCATGGGGAAGGACAGTGTCAGCACCAATTCAGAGATGATTTGAGGATCTACAGCCGAGTGTTACACAATATTTATTTAATAGTTAAGGTACTTGAGTTCAGTTCAGTGTCGCTTTAAGAGACCAACCATTCCAGACAATGAATTATTTCTCTGAGACTGGTCAGTTAAGGAGTGTCTGCAAAGTCTGGGTGTAGCCCATATAACTTTTTAATTTTTTATTATAACTTTTGTCAAATTGTAATCCTGCCGCTATTCCTTATCAGAACACTAGATGTCAGTGGTGGCATTTATAACACAAGCCTCAAGTTTGCTCTAGCGCCTGTAACTCTTTCCAACTGTGTGCAAACCATTCTCTGGATTCAGTAGAATTTGCCACCATTGTTTTCTTGTCAACCACCTTAAAAGCCCTAAAAAGCCTTTCTAGTTCGTTTTTGCACTTTACAACTGCAGGCAAAGGAGATCCTGCAGCATGCAAGAGCCTCTTCCATTACAGCAGAAGGTTTGTGCAGATCCCATGCAATATGAGTTATTAGGGGCATGTACAGGGACAAAACTACACTGTACATTCATTGTGAGCACAAATAAAGAGACCCCGTCACTAACTTTAATTTTGCATGCAGCATTTTTCCTTTCTATGAATTATCATTCACTTGTAATATGCCTTTGAATTTGGTAGAACATTTGTCTACTTCAGAAGAGTCAATTTCCTAGCACAGCCCCCATCTTTCTAGCACATAATAGACCTCGCCTCTTCCAGGGGTGTCTTATTATTCTCTGCACTGGCCCAGCTCCTCCACCCCTCCCCTTACCTTCCTACATAACCTTTTATGTAACTGCTGGGGGGGGAAATTAAGGAGAATACTATAAGGGCCTGTTCACACGACGTCCGTTTTCTGCACTAAAAATGCATCCCAATGTATCCCTATGTGTTTTATGGGCTACAGTTCTCACGTGCGCAGTCCGTTCAGGTTACGACAGAAAAAATACTGCATGTCACATTTTGTACGGTCAGGAAACGGTCCGGAAACGCAAAATGCGGCAAAAACGAGTCAAAACACGTCAAAAACGCACTGCACTGCAGCTAACATACTGACAGCCCCACTTTTTTTACTGGAACGCATGAAAAATACGGCCAAAACGCGGCAAAAACATGGCAAAAACGTACTGCATCAGTCTGCAGATCCGCACCTGATCAGGACCTGATATCATGTGAACAGACCCTAAGGCCCGGTTCACACCTGGGCGTTTTGTAGCGCGTTCCAATGCTCTGCAAAACGCTCAAACACCAAAATCCCATTATTTCCTATGAGTATGGTTCACACCTGGGCGTATTACAGGTCGTATGAATGCGCTACAAAACGCCCTACGCCCAAAGAAGTACAGGAGCTTCTTTGGGGCGTTTTTGTCGCGCGTATCCATTGGTATACAGCCAGGTAGCCCTCGGAAACGTGCGTATGTCGTGCATTTTTTACCGCGATTCGCGGTAAAAAAGCGCGACACGAAACGCGCATATTTGATACTCCTAGGTGTGAACCCAGCCTTAGTGTCATTTGAGTGACAGCTTTGAGGCTTCTGGGGCTGCTGATATCCCATCCAAGATGGCAATGCCCAGCAGCAGTCACTCTCAGGGTTTTTGGATGTGTACACAAGGAAAATATCTTAAAAGAGAACTAAAGCCAAACCTTTTTTGGGGAATTAGTCCTCTTTTGGGTCACAGGGGTCCATTTACTAAAGTCAGCATTTAGCAGGCTACCAGCTGCTATTAGCTGACAGTGCAGAGCCGCGTTGCATCTGGGAAAGATCTCGACAATATTGCATGTCGTATGTTGGCTCTCAGTATTGGTAAGAGTACATTTTACTCTCCCAGTACTTCTCCTTTAAATACTTATATAGTCTTATTGCAATATTTTTGTTGAAATAAATGGTTTGGCGACAGGGTCTTGTTAACCTCTTGCCGTCCGCCCGTTAAGAAAAAACGGACGGACGGCAGACTCGTTGTAATAGCAATAACAATAAGTGTAAAAAAAAAAAATCTATATAAATAAAAAAAGTTAAAACAAAATAAAAGTCACAAACAAAAAAAGTAAAAAAATAAAAGTCACAAATAAAAAAAGTGCAGCGCTGAATACTGAAAAATGGCCTGGATGGGAAGGGGGTTTAACACCCCGGATGTCAACTGGTTAAACTGGTGCATATGTTTGGAGGTGCGCCCATTAATTTGCTCACTTTGAAACCTAAAAGCAAGTAAATAAGTTACCCTTAAAAGGTATCTCGAGCTAATCTTTTTATTTAGATTTGGATGAAGTGTTACAACCCTTGCCGAGTTTTTATTACCTGTTATCTGTGCCCAGCTGAGGGGATTCTCCTAGCAGGACAGAAAGTGATGGGAAATCCAACTTTCTAGCATAGGGAATAGTTAGTTGACTACTAACTATTCCCTATTCTGCCCACATTTTAAAAACACGTGAAGTCAGAACCCTGAATCTGCAGACTTGAACAGCGTCAAAGTCTCATGAAATACTGAAGCCAGAGGATCATCATGAAAGTCAGTCACCTCATCATAAAGAGATATCAATAGCCTTTATATTTATCTAAGTACAGGTTTTTGCTACTCTTAACCTAACCCATAAACCAAACACTGAACCCCACCATTGTTGCCATGAAAATGATCACAGAGGTACTGATCTGACAATATCACCTGCTAATTTGTTTACTTATTTGAAATCTGGGTGCCAATATTTTTGCAGCTAAAACAATAAATCCCAATTTCTTCACCAGAGACCGTCCCTGTATTCCAGACTAACCGTACCATTGTCAGACGTACGCTGTGTTTCCTCCTGGCAGGGAGCTCTATAGACCTGCGCCTGGAAAAAAGAGGAACTACTCACCCCCGCTGAACGGGTTGGCCCACGACTATTCTTGCTCACTGGGCTAATGGCCGGATCCCTGCCATGTCTAGAACCAGCGCTGGGGACACCTGACAAAGACAAAGGCTCAGGCTGTCAGCGGAGGCTTTTTGGTGTTGCTTTGCCGATCAATGCAAAATTGAACCTTATTTGTGTCAATTGTAGAAAACAAGACATAATATTTACCGGGAACTACTGAGAAAGTATAAAGAGCAACATGGCGCAAGGAGTTAAATCAATCTGTGAATGTCTGATTTAATATGGACCAAGCTTATTAACATTTCTCAATTGAAAGATAAATCAAATCAGCCAGCCTGTAAAAGAAGGGTAACTCTGACAACCGGTGACTTTGATCTTCATTCTCTTTCACAGCTACACCAAGTATGCTGCCAATCTCCAGCATCCACTACTTCCCATGTTCGATGCCTCCAACCACTGCTGCTCATTGTGGTTCCACCCATTGGCTACTAATTTACTACTGTAGTGGTGCAGCGGGCAGTGGGAAGAACTACAGGACACAGACGTGGACTCAGCCATCTGACACATCCGGCAGTGCAGGACACAGAAGACAACCTCCTATAAATCCTCAAGTGTACCTGTCATGTAAGTAGGAAGGAGCTGAGCAGAACCAGCTTTTTACAAGCAATTGCGTCACTACAGCTTCATACCTGAAGTCGGCTCTGTTTTAGCCGTTGGTAACCTTGTCTGACGACACTGACTGTTGCCATCACTTCCCAGAGGCACAAATCGGCTGGGGGTGAAGTCAGGGTGAGTCGGGGAGGAGGTACTATGTGTCCATGGGCTGGACGTCATCGGGAGGACAGCAGGGGGTATCTTATCTCTACAGATAAAAGAAGAAAATTTAGACAAAGAGAAGCCTAATGCTACAAGATAAGATATTAAAAAATGAAATGATGTTGGGTTAGCACTTCTGCCTTGCAGTACTGGGATCCCTTGTTCGAATCCCAGTCAGGGCACTCTCTGCAAGGAGTTTGCATGCTCTCCCTGTGTTTATGTGGGTTTCCTCCCACACTCCAAAGACATGCTGGAAGGTTAATTGGCTCATGTCTAAATTGGCCATGTATGTATACTGTACATGTGAGATAGGGAACTTAGACTGTAAGCTCCTTGAGGGCAGGGACTGATGTGAATGTGCACTGTAAAGCGCTTCGTAAATTGTTGGCGCTATATAACTACCTATAATATATAAATAAATGTCTGTACATACAGTAAGCTTCTGGTGGAGTGGTTTTTTTGCATGGTGGTTTACTGTCTGTCTCTGTCCCATCAGGGAAAATACCTTCACTCCCCCGAAACACAACAGAAAGTGAGAGGAAATCTCTCCATATTTAGAGGAAGTTGTTCCTTTCTTGTATTCCAAAAAGGCCCAAAACATACTCAGAGAGGGGCCGTTGGGTTGCAGACTGCATGAACCACTAAGTTGGGGGTACGCAATTCTAAAAAATTATTATTTTTTTTTTATATGCTGCTGCTGTGATTGTTGATCAATTTCTGAATCTTTTAACTTAATGTTTAAAGCTGAACTCCAGCTAAGAAGAAAATGCTAGGGGTGTATTTCTAACATCCTGCAAAACTTCATGTGCATTAGTTCTGTGCAAATGGAAGCAAATACGAATGTTATTAGTAGATTTTCTTTCCAGGTTGAATGTAATGTCAGGTCAATGCAGTATTATGGGCTCTAGATGGAGCTGAGGAGCATAGGAAAGAAGTATTTACTTCCTATGCACCTGTGCTGTGTAACTTCCTCTCCCTTACTGTAAACCCTATTACTTTCAAAGTGATTTAAGATAGATAGATAGATAATATATAGATATTAGGTTACATTTCTATATGTGTACCTCTTTAGTAAGGTTGGCACTTTTTCCAGCCTGCGGTGGGCTGGTGGGGAATCTGTATCTTCTTCTGTGATTGGTTCTCCATCCTTCTTCGGCTGCTCGGAGGCGTGTACCTCTGAAATCGGTTCTGATTCAAGCAAGTTTTTTTTCACAGATTTTCTCATTTTGTTTTTTAGAGGAGTGAACCATGCCATGGCCTACAGAAATCACATGTGAAAGGAACCCAATTAATCTAGACAACTGCCATCTGTTACAACCAAGACTCTGATCTAGTGATGAAGGTAGCCAAAAATAGCTACGCTGTGGTGACACAGTCAACATTCGAATTTCCCTTCAGCTTCTGTCCCGTGACAAATGGGGAGACACAGATGACAATAAAAACCTGATGGATATTCTCTTCCCTAACCATATCCAAAAAAGAAGTTTAGGCTGGAAGTCAAAATATCGACATTTAACCTCTCGATAAACCATGTTTCTAATTAAAAAGATTCAGCCAACAAAATAGATGAATTCAATGGAACTTACCTTCCCATTTGAGGTACACAGGATGGTAGTACAGCGCTGTTCAGTGACAAACTTGCTTTTCTCCTTCCACAAAAAGTCTGTTGGGGGATTGTGAGTGACACCAGCAGATGAGGCCCAAATCTGTAAGTAAAACAAAATTGATATTCAATTTATAGGGGAGGTTTAAGGGTTTATGGGAGACTTGGTAGATGTCACCAGCTTGATGGCAAAACAAAGTCCAACTAGGCTTCAAATGAGTGCCAAACATGCACCGTAGCAAAGTTATGGCAGAAAAGAATAAGCAGACGTTCCATGTTTCTGAGCTGAGCTTTAGAATTTAAAATTATATAATAAACCCTAAATGAATGGCATCTCCATCTACATGGAGCAAATATCAGGTGGTTGCAGGAGGCGTGAGACTCAAAGGTCTGCAGACTGACTATCCTAATGGTTTATGGTTAGGTCCGGTCATTGCAAAACCCAAGGATGAGGAAGGAACAAAAAGGAGTTGAATAACAGATGTTAGTTGAGTAGAGGGCTTTAAAGTTCTTTGCTGAGCCAAGGGTTCTTTGTGTGCTGCTGCAAATGGAAGTTGGATCCCGATCCTTCAAACCCATACTGTATATCACTGCAGGTTCAGAGCAGCTAAAAAGCGTCCGGATACAATCATTAGACTGTAAAAGAGGCTCCTGACACACACTAAGGCCACTGAACACCAGTGTTTATGGGACTGTAGTTGGGTGCAATATAGGTCACTGGCCACCAATGCTTAAGGGACTGTAGTGGGGTGCAATGTAGGTCACTATCTACCAATATTGAAACGACGGTAATGGGTCCAATATAGGCCACTGTCCACCAATGTTTAAGGGACTGTAGTGGGGTGCAATATTGGTCACTATCTACCAATGCTTAATGGACTGTAATGGGTCCAATATAGGCCACCATTGTTTAAGGGACTGTAGTGGGGGTGCAATATAGGCCACTGGCCACCAATGTTAACAGGGCTGTAGCGATATAGGGATGCAATGTAGGTCACTGCCACCAATGTTTTCAGAGCTGTAGTGGGGTTTAATATCATTGGCCAGCAAAGTTACTGAACTAAGGTGCCAATACAATTCTGCTTTTGGGCAGCATGTTTTTGTAGCTACCTACAGGCCTTAGATGGGGTGATTTGTAGTTCCACAATACACTGAACCTTCATCCTAAAAACATCTGCAGAACATCAAGTATTAACATTTATCTGTACTGGGGGACATGCATGCTTGGAGAGAGTGAGCACTCTCCAGATATCACTGCCACTGGGCTATCTCAGGGAAAAACAACAGTGATTGGACACACAAATATAACCCACACAATCAACTTCTCCAAGAAAGGGGATGCTGGCCATTGTCAGAAAGGTCTTACAGACAGTTAATCAGTTGCTAAAGTAATTGTAAAAGGCATTTCTGTTGTGTCTATGCACATGAATTGAATTGTTGTAAAAAGTAATACTGGGTTACTCATACAGTAAGGAGAAGGTCCATGTTCCAGGAACATTGCTATGCCGACTTTAAGATTCAACTCACCGGCAGCCCAACAGTCTATTTAAAAAATATATATTTATGAAGTGCCTAGCACAAGCCAAGGGACAGGGACAATTTCCAAAGCTGCAATGGATTTTACTTATGGGTGGATTTTCCCTTTAAACTAAAAAAACAGAAAGCATATATTTTTAGGAGGAGCTGTACTCACGGTGACCACGCAGCGTGCCATCACTCTGGTTTTTGGTGGGAATCGATAGATCGACACAGGATGACCCTGAATGTTCTGTTGGAGAAGACAACCTCCAATGTCTTCCTCTTTGTCTAGTGACTGGTTGACGATTCTTACAAAGTTGCCGCTGGGGTCTACTTCAGAGATTTCCAGATACCCGAGAGCACTAGGCGAGCCCAAACACATTACCTATATCAGACTTTGGCTAATAAACAGTTTAATAGACACGTGTGACTTATTTTATTCCGAATTGACTTTCGTAAGAATTTCTGCATATTTAGACATTCGAATGCATCTGAATTTACAAATAACAGAAATACCCAATCCAAACGAATCCGAATGTTTTTGATAACGAAATTCGGATGCATCCGAATTATTTCCAGAATGTCATTCAGCATTAAATAAAAGAGTGGAGAGCTGTGTGTTATTCTGTGGCAGCTCTCTGCCTCATTGTCGACATTCGGGAGCATCCCGAATGTCAACAAAGTAGCAGAGAACTGTTACAGAATGCAGAAACATTTTACACTTCTGACAGCCCACACAAACAATCAAACCCCCCCCCCAAAAAAAAAAAAAAAAAAATGTGCGATTCCCTCCAGCAATTAATACCAGATCCTTTAGGTCTGGTAGGAATTTTAGGGGGGCTCCCAACCGCAAAAAAGTGTTGGGTCCCCCCTAAAATCCCTTACCATACCCTTTATCTGAGCACTAGCCTGGCTGAGCTGGAAATGGGGTTACGAGCGTGTGGCCAGTTCTATTTTAACAAACAATTCCATCAAATTAGCATATAGCTAAAATGACTGTACATGTAGGAAACCAGTCATGAGAGGAATATGGTGGCTTCCATTGGTGGCCAATGCTAGGTTCCTGGCTATCATGCCCAGCCACTTGCTTTCAATACTTTAAGCCACTGTACCAAACAAGTATGCAGATAAGGACTCCAGTGCAGCAAATGAAAGTATTGAATTCAGTGCGTCAAGATAGCAGGTGAGCAACTAGCATTTTTTATGGTAGCCCCCATAAGTCTCTCATGACACACTTACTTTAAAAATGATTACAGGGCATTAGACGGCGTATTCAGTAAGGTAAGAGGCACTGTACTAGCGGAATATCCCATTGCAGCCAATTCGAATTCCTCTTTGCACTAACATGAAATTAATTCTGATTGGTTGTTTTAAGTTACCGCTCATTATTATTGACCTGCGCACAATTTTATGCAGCTTTTCTAGGCAGCCGGCCACTCGCTGTTATCCACGCAGTGATACCTAATATGTAAACAGACATCTTGTCGATGTTGTGGCCGATGGTGAGCAGAAAACGCTCTGTACAGCTCAGAGAAGAAAGCCCGCAGCGATTTTCCTATGGAACATTGAGAACACCGTGCTACGATTTTTAAACCCTCATTATTTATTAACGGTGTTTTTTACGCAACTATTTTCTTCCCACGGAGGTGGCAACTCTTCCCGAGATACACGTCAACCCTGCACAAAGCAAATGTGTGTTGCCCCGGGGCTGAAGGAGAAAAGATGAATTATTCTGACTCTTGGCCAGGGGCAACGAGTTAAAGAAAGTCTCCTGACATTCAATCGGCTTCCAAGCGGAGGCCCCAGACGCAGGGTGCTACAGGGGAACGCCGCTCAAAACAGCAAATAATCTATCTTTGTCTTTAGGAAGAACTCCAGTCCAATTAGAAAGCAGTTTAAGGCAAGGAGCTGTTAAATTAATCAGTTCAAAGCAGAGCCACAACTTTTAGGGGTCTATTTATAAATCTTCTGCGCAGCCAGAGGCATCCTCAGGCCAGGTGTCAGCCAGCGTGGACGCCGGGTGTGACCTGCCAGGACATCATCACACATGTGTGTGATGTCATTAGGGGCTTGAGTGACCTCATCACGCACACACAAAATGACGTCATGCACTCTTAGCTGCTGGCAGCCATCTTGGTTATGTATGCCGGCAGAGAGAGGAGGGAATGTGCATCCGGCAGGATAAGGCATACCGCAGGGTCCCCTCTAGTCTCGTAAAGCTTTTCAGAGGGGGTAACACCAAAATTACTGTGAGTCATTTTTGGTGTCACCCCCTATGATGGCCTCACCAGGTGCAGGCCATACTCCCCTTATGACATCACCGCAACCAGCTATACGCTGGGCGAATGCCATTCGTACGGCATTCCTGCCAATAGATGGAGCCAATGAGCCAAAAAATTCTGATGCTTATTGGCTCCATCTAGTGGTGAAAACACAGTGCAAACAGGAGCATAGGAATATCTCCATCTAGAATTTTCTATGCTCCTTGGCTCCATCTGGTGGCGGTAAACCAAACGCTAGATGAATGCTGTTCGTATGCCATTTCAGCTACTGGATGGAGTCGAGGAGCATAGAAAATTCTGCATGGAGAAATTTCTATGCTCCTGTTCACACTGCATTCCCACCACTAGATGGTGCCAAGGAGCATCAACATTTCTCCATCTAGAATTTTCTATGCTCCTCAGCTCCATCCAGGAGCTGGAATGGCATATGAACAACATCCAGCGTATGGTTTGCCACCACTAGAAGGAGCCAAGCAGCATCAGAATTTTCCATATAGAATTTTCTGTGCTCCTCGACTTCATCCAGTAACTGGAATGGCATACGAACGGCTTTCATCCAGCATATGCCTTGCCACCACTAGAAGGAGCCAAGGAGCATAGAAAATTCTAGATGGAGAAATCCATATGCTCCTCGGCTCCATCTACTGGTGGGAATGTAGTGCGAACAGGAGGATACGAATTTCTCTATGCTCCTCGGCTGCATCTAGTGGCAGGAATGGTGTATGAATGGTATTTACTCAGCATATGGCTTGGTGGAATTTGATTAATAGACCCTTTAGTGTTGCATAGTGCAAGAATGGGTTAGGTTTTGATGGCAGTCTGTGCCCCCATCAGGGGATTTTGTGCTCACTTCCTGTCCCAGTGACAAAGAAAAGACAAGAAATGATAGGAAACTGTGTGTACTTTCCTATCCCAGTGACCCCCGGTCCCCTAATTTGGGTACACAGCATTGTCCCTGAGGCACACAGCGAGGGGAAAGCTCTCCAAAGTGGTCAGACAGCATCAAAAACCTTCCCAGACTATATTCTATGCCTAGTTAATCGGTCATGCAGTGGGATCCTAATGCAGTGGTATGTATTTCTAGGGTGTGCAGGTTTACACAATGACAGGTCCACTTGAAAAGCCAATAACATATTTACCAGTATTTCAGCTAAGAACATTCTGGTTCCTTTTGCCTCCCTCCCACCACAGGCTGACTGATTATACTGCCTTACAGAATGTGATTATTAATTCCTCTAACATGCTCAAGATAATTGAGATACAGAATTCCTATTCATCAGAATTTTCCATGCTTTTCATTGCCCAACTCGGCTCTTGTGTAACTCTGAAAAATCCGGCTGCTGGGAGGAATATCTCATTTGCAGGACTGACAACCCCAGACTCCCTCACATGCTAATCGAGCATAGAATTCTATACATTATTAAGTGCTCATCGACAGCGCCGAGCTCACGCTTTACAGCGCATAGGAAATTAGCGTCAAATAATATTACAGGTGATGCCATTTGTGGAAAAATAACTTCCTGTATCGGTATTCAGTCCGAACTGACAACCCCAAAACTACTGAATTTATTCCTGTACAAGAAATACTGAGATTACCTCTAAAAAAAGAATGTGTTTAGAATGTACAATACAAAGCTCACATGGAATCTTTTACATGTTTTTTTTTGTTAAATCTCTGTGTATCATACTTGTTTAATTGTTTTTTAAATAAAATACAAATGTTCCTCTTTATTTTCCTCTTGTGCTGTATCCCAGTCCTGCTGATCTCCTGCAGCCTCTTTGCAACTGCTTCCTGTCTACCTGCACTCCAGTGATGGCTTTATGACATTCCTCAAGGTGCGTTTCCTGATGGTAACAATGGACCATGCCTGCCCAATATGTGTTAAAGCGAACCTTTACCCCCTTTCAATAAAAATCACATCAGTGTGCAGCTCTACCTGCTGATATGAAATCATCTTACACCCATTCCTTAAATAAACATAATTACAACAATTGCTTTAAAAAAATTAAAATAGTTTAAAGAAAAAACAAATTTGAAAATTAAAAATAATGTAAACAAAACGCTGGCAAAGATGGTGACAAAAGAAAAACAATTGGGCGGAGCTAGCAGTGACAGCTAGCTCCGCCCAACTGCTTCCTATTGGCCGCCACCGGCTAGAGTCTTCTAGCAGGTCCCGGCCAATGAATAACAGATCAGCGTAATCTGTCATTACAACTGGACGGAGCCAGCCGTGAGATCGGCTTCAGCCAACCTTTCTCTATGCTTCGGCTGTTGCTTTGGCTTAGGCTTGCTGAAGCATATGCCTTCAGCTCAGCTGAGCTGCTCGGCTGCCTTCGTCTGCTGTACGGGCTATTGTGAATAGCCCGTACAGCAGCCCTTCTGTTCCACTGAACCGAAGGTCAGAGGCGGCCGGAGAGAGCCGAAGGATCCAGCCGAAGCTACGGCTGGATCCTTCGGCTCTTTAGTGAATAACCCTCTTCGTTTTGGATAGAGTCTGCAAAGGATAAAGTCCCTGCCAGATGTTATGGCTCTCAGTGTCCCATTGGGGAGATTTCACTTTACTTTCTGTCCCGGACACACAATAGAAAATGACAGAGCAAGTCTCTGTAAATTGAGGAGTAATCCCCTCTTAGGAGGCCCCCTCTTGTGACAGGTGCTCTTTTTCATCTGACCTGGAGACAGCATTTGTCCTGTCATTTCTGGTCAGCGGTGGAATTTTGTTGATGCATTTCGGGTTCGTGTTGTCCGTCACTGAACAGAATGAGTCTTGTCTTTTGCTGCGCTTTGGCATCTGGCTGCTGCGAGGAGGGGCAGAGGTTGACCTCTTAAACTGATCTATTTGGTCTTGTACGTCTTCAACTGGAATTGAGCAACAATAAAAAATGTGAGTCAGTCCACACCTAAAAATCACAACAGAGAATGAAGAAAAATTCCCCCCACAGAGTTCTAATATCACCCTATAACACGTCTCCTGTTGATTCAATGAAAATATCCTATGCTTTTAAACGTGAGCTGCGGGCACAAGTCAAAAACCTTTATATAAATATATTCCTCAATTGCCACAAAGGATATACATTTACCTTCTGCCAATCCAGGTAATACCTTGCAAAAGTATTTACAATTTGACCATACAATCTCTCTACACTCAAATCTACATCTAGCAAAACTAAGTAACATCAGGACCTATTGTACCTAATCTATCCAATCAATGTACTGTTCATCCTATCAGCCAAGCCCTTGTACTACATAGTTGTTGGTAGATTTATAGGAGATTGTACAATCAGATTGTAAGGCCTGCGGTGAGCTTTTGTATTGAGTGGTTATACGATTATACAGAATATGAGGGGTAGGCAACCCTGGCACTCCAGCTGTGGTGAAACTACAAACCCCATTCTGTGACTCATGCCTGTGGCTGTCAGAGTCCTGTAATGCCTAATGGGACTTGTAGTTCCACAAGAGCGCTGAGCTTGACTGCCCCTGACATCCGTGGTTTTTAGACCTTTCCTGGGAAACTTGCATTGAAAAAGGTTTACTAAGGAACAAAGGAAGCAGAGCCTACAAATAAATTGAATGAATATGAATGCACCCACATACATAAATAATCAAAAACTATTTAAACATATAAAATAAAATAAATGATATAATATGTATACCGGTTTCATTTATTTGCAATAAGCTGATAACTGAAAAAAATAATGAATAATATACAGTAGTTCTCCTTTAATTTACCAGTGTTTTCCCCTTTAAGGGAACTTTCCTCTGTGGAGGGAGCAGAAGAAGTATCATTGGAGTAAGATGTAGTTATCAGTGGAAGGACTTCGGGTGTCTTGTAGTGCTCGGGGATAAAATTGTGTACAGACGATGGGAAGGAGTCGGTTAGTGGATTGGAGGATGAGGACGAAGTCTGTGGGCAGTGCCAGTTACCGATGGTCATCCTGGAGAAAATACATCAATCAAATCAAATCAGGTGAATGAGTAAACAGCTGAAAAACATAAAGAAAAGTTTTAAAGGAAAAGCCTATAATTATTTCACAGTTCAATTTCACATATTTGGAGATATTATTGCAGTGTTTATCCTAAAGTCATTTTTGACGTGAGATTTCCACATCTTTACAAACTTTCTCTTCCATATTTGTGTTGTTGTAAAAACTATAGAAATGTGTATACTGTCCACTAGAGGGAGCTCTCAGTGCGCTCATTGTCCATCAGTCTCTTAGCAATTATTGAGATAACATATAGGCCACACAGGGAGTGCATTGCTTTCAGTTGGTCAGCTGGCTTTATATCAAATACTGTTTAATAATTGTATTTATTAATATCTCTGCATTTTTACACATTTCTATTGTGTTATACACAATTATTATTTTACTAGTCAGGTGTGTTCATAGTCAGCTTTCTTTTTCATTATCCTGGTCTGGACATTATCTGCAAGGAGTTTGCAGATTCTCTCTGTGGTTGTGTGGGTGTCCTCCGGGTACTTCGGTTTCCTCCCACACTCCAAAGACATGCTGGAAGGTTAATTGGCTCCTGTATGTATACATGTGAGATAGAGACCTTAGATTGTAAGCTCATTGGGGGCAGGGACTAATGTGAATGTGCAACTATATAAAGCTCTGTGTAAATGGTCAGTGCTATATAAATATCTGTAATAAATAAATACATAATGATTTATGTTTATCCTTTTTTGATACCTAATATGATAAGATAAGAAACTTTATTTGTTGCTGCCTGCAAGATACAGCGAAATACAGTTGTTATAAAGAAGGAGTCTCAGTTTCCTCCAAAATGCGTTGGATAATATTTTACTTGATTAAATAATGAGTTTTGGAATATCCAATTTGTTCTTTGGTGAATGTGATGTGAATGTGTCAAGCACTGTGTAAATTGTTGCCGCTATATAAATACCTGTAATAAATAAATATTAAAATTACATCAATATCTCGTTAAAAGTAATTGCACTGCATCCAGTGCCACTACCGCAAAAAAGGATTCTATTTTATTACTATGGTTTAGTCTTTGTTATTGTTTTTTATTTACCAATGTATTTCCTTATGAATTTGGGGTATTTGGTATTTTTTTATGTATTTGTTAATTACATTCAAGACTAAAAAAAGTGTTTTCTTCATTTAAATATTATTTATTTATTATAATAATTTTCTGTAATATAATCATTTTACATTTACCACTTTCAGCCAGCAAATGGCAAGTTAGAGGCAAAGATCCAGCTTTTCTGATTGTAGATTTATTCTTTGTGAATAGCCTGAAATGTGATGGAGAGACCTGAATAGCAGAAGAGATCAGATGACCCACAAAGAAGGACATACCCCTGCCCTGTCTTCTAAAACAGATGGTGACCTATATGGATTTTCAGTAAGACAGAGGCGGGCAACATGCATGCAGGCAGTGCCAAAGCAGAGGTAGACGGAGAGATGAAGTGTGGTTAGTGGTAGCTAAAAGCTGCACTTATCTTGTGTTCTTACTTATCAAGCTTTACTTACTGGTGTTCCTCTTCCTCCAGCATGGCCTTCATAGCATCCAGTTCATTCCGCAGGGACACGTTGCTTTCCTGGAAAGTGTTCAGCTCCTTCATCTTGGCCAGGAGAAGATCCTGCAGCTCCTGGTGAGACAGAAACGTCATGTTTTGTATCTATTGGAACACATGGAGAAACCATGGGACCAGTGTGCACAAATGAAGGCCGGGGCTGACAAGAGTAGAAGGACCTCAGTATGGCACATAATTAGACTAGCCATACACATATTAATATGTCAGAAGATTTCAAAAGATTCAAAGAAAATGTAATAAAAAAAGAACAGCTTATGTGTAGGCATCTGTGCGTTGTCTTATCTAGCAAGGTATTTGTGATTGTGTCCGTGACCACACTTTACTGTATGGCATGCAAGCAATAAAAATAGTAATACAAAAATCACTGCGCTAGGAGTGAGTATCTAAATAGCTAATTAGACCAGCCGCAACAATGTGTAAAAGTGAATATAATGGTGTAGCAAATAAGTTGTGCTCGGTCTGAGTGGATGTTAATTCAATATTTGTGATGAACAATCTCTTAGTTTAAAGAGGAAAAAAATACAGTGTACAATTACCGGAAATCTATATCTCGGCATGTGACAGTGAAATGTAACAAAAATAAATGGTGAAAGTATCAATCACAGCCCAGTGTGTCATTGAGCGTTCATTTATGTTTAAACGCACCCAAAGTAGCTAAACGAGCACTCTAGTGTTATAACCATAAATCTGGAAACTTTGTTGTAATACGTGTATGGGTGACCAATGTCATAAAATTGCAAATCACACATTGAATTAACATCCACTCAGACCGAGCACAACTTATTTGCTACACAATGCAAGCAATAAAGTTTGGTCACTCACCTGCCCTATATACTGCCTGTATATATAAATCTTGCTCCCTCTCTATCTCCTTACATATACTCTCTCTTTCTCTCTCTCTATCCATTTACTGTCTCTCGCTGTCTCTCTCTCTCCACGCTCAATTATTAATACCATATGTGATCTTTGCAGCAAGTAACACATTTTCATTTTTCCTCCATTAAGACTTATCCCGCCTTCCCTTCCTTCTTGCTGATTGTAATGATAGGCATTCAGGGCCTCTAATTAAATCTCAGCCAATTTCTTTTCAAGTCCAGTGTGTGGAGGACACATCATGTGACTCTAAACATGAACTGGATCTCCTCCAACATGGGCTATTTTCACTCAAGACAATTAGGCCCCGCTTGGTGAATTCTCCATGACCAGGGGCCCTCTTAGAGGAGAAAAAAGTGGGGGTGATTTAGGAGCGGGAAACCACAACTAGAGTGCAATTAAGCCCCGCCGCAAAGCAGTCTCTCTTTTTTTCGTACTGCCCAATAAAAGTGGTAAAAAGACAAAATAACCCACATCTAAGACAGCAACAGATCAAAAATAAGTCGGGTCACATGAAACAAAGAAGGAGTCATTCGCCAATATATAGTATATGGAATTGTGCAGAAGCATAAGAATATTTCCTTCAGAATTTGGTGGTGAGAAACCCAGTGGGAGGAGCTAGGGTTAATTTTAGGCAAATAAAAATAAAGAAGAAGAACGGAAAAATAAAATAGTTTCTATCCAGTGAATCTGTAACAAAGTAAATCACTTCTATCTATCAGGTTGAACTTAATGGACATCAAGCTTTTTATTACCTACCTATCAATGGAACCTGTGTCATATGCAGTAAAATGGAAGATTTTTTTGACTCATTGACAGTGAAGTCACCATTCTGAAAGCAACATAAGGGGAACTCACAGAAGCTTCCTTTATTTGCTGTAACATGATCAGCACTTAAAGTGACACTAAACTCAGGTGTTAAATCTTAAAAAAGTACCTTAAATATTAACAAACATGTATCTTATTTGTGTATCACTCGGCTGTAGATCCTCAAATCATCTCTGAATTGGTGCTGACACTGTCCGTCCTTCTGGAGGGTGACTACTTTTGTTCCCCATGGTCCCTGTGTGTGTTGTAAAGTAGTCACCGCTCAAAGCTCACTCCTGTGATGGGCTACAATCTCATGTTTAGTCCACTAATTTGCATTAAAGTTATAGTCCATCAAGGGAGTGAGCTTGGAGTGGTGGCTACCATCCCCCTTCTTACTTTTGTTAAGTTTACTAACTAGTATTGAGATTGAGAACACCATCCAAATGCAATAATGGCTGTACATAACTTAAATATAAAATTGTCCAATGAGGATATTTCTTATTTATTTATTCTAGGTATTTACAGTATATAGCGTCGACAAATTTCTGCATAGTACACATTCACATCAGTCCCTGCCCTCAAGTTGCTTACAATCTAAGGTCACTATCTCACACACACACTTACATGGGCTGATTTAGACAGGGGTCAATAAACCTACCAGCATGTCTTTGGAGTGTGGGAGAAAACCAGAGAACCCGCAGTAAACCCACACAAGCACAGAGAGAACATGCAAACTCCCTGCAGATAGTGTCCAGACCAGCATATGAACCGGGGAGCCCCAGTGCTGCAAAGCAGAAGTGCTAATGGGAAGTTTGTCGATGCACTAATGGTAACAATCCTCTACGCGTTTCACATATACAGCTTCTTCAGGAGGAGGAGGGGAGATTTTCTGTGTAATCCAACACTAAAAAAACTATGCTTCCAAGCAGGGAGCAAGCATCCTTCTCTGCAGCATGCTGGTAGGGGACAGGCTTTTCTATTCAGGCTGTGGCTGCTTTAATAAAAGAAACACACTTTAAGACTTTGCTCACCACTTGCTTGTTTGTTCGTTTGTTTTGATGCACCTGGAACGTGTGAAAACTTTAAGCTCCTTTAGGCTTATGGGCTAAATCACACTTTTGTGCTGCAGTGCATTGCGGTAATGCGCATGCTACCATGAGGCATAATAACGCACGGCACGTGTCTAGCACATGAGGGTGACAGTTATTTTGAGTGGCAACATAGATCTGACGGCCATGTGTTACAGCGCACCACAATGCATGATAAAGCCTGTGACACACTGCATGTGAAGCCGTGCAGAACAAAGCAAAGCTGTCAGGCACGGAGATGCGCATGCAGTGTGTGAGCTGAGCTTGGCCAGATGAAGGACTGCATCTTCAGTGAATCAGCTCACGCGTAACAACCGAATGGACTTGGCATCGTGACACGCAGGTTTATACGCTTCGCGTGCAGTGTGTCAGAGCCTTATGGCTCCAAAATGCGCTGTTGTGTGTAGCATCAGAAAAAAAACTCCACATCCAATTTTTGTTTTGGAGTGTTAAAGGACAATTACACAAATTAGCTGCGCGACATAACGTGCGTTAACGCAATGCATTGGAATAAACAAGTCTGAATGGGTGATTAATCTTTTTCTATAGATGTCTTTACGATGGCCCCTTGCATGAACTCATTTTGCACAGTGTTGCAGAAGATATTGGTTCAACATAATATAAATAAAACATGGTAATAATAAATATGAGACATATGATAACAGAAGATAACGAAAGCTGCACCTAAATTGCACCCTGAGATAAAATAAACTAACAAGAGATACAGTACTGTATGTACCCGGCTGAATGCAGCCGCCACACTCTCTGGTCTGCAGTATCAAACTGCACTGCGGTACAGCTCTGCTTTTCACCAGATTAACTAGGACAGCTGCTGTAGAATTCCACAATAAGAAGACGGAAGAGTATATTTATTTGAAGTGTTTCTGAACCCAAGAACAAAAATTTAATATATTGCAGCTTACCATTCCTTAATTGGCTGCATTCGTTTTCTTTTTTCAGGCTTTTTGCCCTTTATTTTTACCTGTTGATCCTGCCAGTATTTTGAATTTGGCACAAATAAGCAAAAATAACTTTCTCAGACCATAATGAAACCCTTTAAAAAAAACGTATACTTCCATTATTAGGAATGCATAGGGGGGCCTGTATATAACCAATTTACCAAGCCATTTGCGCTATGAATGTTTTTGAAAGTTTGGTCTGCGTGAATAGACCCAACCCCCCCCTCCCTCCCCCCAGTCTAAAATTTAAAAACCATAAGTGTAAAAAACAATACGTGGCCCCTCCCTATTCCATACCAGACCCTTATCCCAGATAGAGTCTGGTATGGATTTTACCAGGTGACTCCACACAAAAAGAATGGAGTTCCCCCTTCACATCCGAGTTCCCCTTCACATCAGTGTCCCTCTGTGCATTGGGTGCCTCCCGCTACATTAGGACCCCCTCTTACACTAGCTGCCCCCTTCACACAAGCCCCCTGTTGACATCAGAAGCCCCTCTTTCACATGAGGAACCCAATTCACCTCACAAGCTGCCCTTCACATCAAGACATTGAGAGCCCTTTTCACCTCAGAACCCCCCTCTATCCCTGCACAACAGAGGTCTCCATCCCCTTCACATCAGACGCCCCACTTTCACATGAGAGTTCCCCATTCACATCAGGAGCCCTATTCACATCAAAAGCCCCATTCACATCAGAAGTCAGCTTGCACCATGGAAAGGCATGACCCTTCAGGAAGGTAGAAGGCACCCCAGGGTGCCATGGCACCCTGGTAAGAAAGGCTGGTTTAGACCCTCTTTCAGTTTTGTGTAGAGTAGGGAAGGGTTTAAACTCCTGCCAATGTATTTTTTGCCCTTTGCACCATTGGGGAAATTTTCATCAACTTTCTGTCCCAGAGGCACAACAGGATATTAGAGGAATATGAGAGAATTTCCCCCCACCCCAGAACAAGTGGCCCGATTGGAAGATCCCCTTACCTCTAGTTCTGAGAACAAAACAAAAATTTCGGATTTCCCCTCACTTTCTTTCTAAATGTCAATGGTCAAATAAAGGGGTGAATCTCCCCAATGGGGACACAGCAATACAAGCTTGACAGAGGGGCCAACTCTTCTCCAACTCTATCCAAAGCTATGCTACACTTTAATACAATGCAGTAAGGCTCGGGATGTGACTACCAGCTTTGGAATTGTATGGAAACGGTCTGTTTAGAACTTTCTGTGGAGAGGGAAGCGCTGCATAAGTGTGAGTGGGGCCCGTAATGCTTACTAAAAATACTTTTTTAATTCTAACTCTACATACTTAAATTCGGCACAATTAATGGTTTTGTTACATCAGGATCAAGAGTGGGCAGTAGAGACTGGCTGTCTATGTCCTCTAATATCTCATAATAGAGACAGGAAGCTCTGTGAACTGTTGACGATGGTCCTGAATGGCTCCCATTGTTGGGTAGAACACGCTCTGCTCTGGGGAACGACAATTGCCCATATTATTTAATGTAATGGCAAATTAAATGACAAAGTCCATCTGCGGCTGAAATGTTCCTCTTTGTGGGAGGGAGGGGAGGGGGGTTGCTGGTGTAATTATTTGGAATTGACAGACACACTGACCTCCAGCCTGGCCTCCAGGGCCCGAATGTGCTGCAGACCCTTCATATGCTCAGCTTCCAGCTTCTCAATCAAAGTGCGGCTATTTCTTCCTTCCTCGAAGAGCTGTAGGGAGACACGGTGTGAGGATGTGAGTTATCGGGAAATGCAGCAAAAGCAAACATAAAACAAATTCCCATTTGCACTAAACATAGCGACAAACAGCAGGTAAAGGGTTTGGAGGTCTGTTCCAGGGAATGGCCCTGATTTTCAATATTGATCAAGTGTAAGTGATATTCCCTGGTATCTTTAAACCCGATCACTAAAATCTAATGGAAGCTTTAAAATGTTAGTGTCAATTCAAAAGTAATTTCCAACATTTTTAAATCATCAGTTTTCATTTAAAAAAATTGCCATAAACTATTATATTTTTCTTTTCAGTGAATTGTTTTTGAAAAGGTGAAAATAAAACAGGAGGAGGCATTCATCAACTTAGAATGACACTAAACCCGGGAGATAAATCTTAAACATGTAGTCCAGCACCCTAACTATTAACAAAAATGTATCTTATTTGTGTATCACTCGGCTGTAGATCCTCAAATCATCTCTGAATTGGTGCTGACACTGTCCTTCCTTCTGGAGGGTGGCTACTTTTGTTCCCCATGGTCTCTGTGTGTGTTGTAAAGTAGTCACCACTTCAAGCTCGCTCATGTGATGGGCTGCAATTTCAATACAAATTAGTAAACTAAATGTGAGATTGTAGTCCATTACAGAAGTGAGCTTGGAGTGGTGACTACTTTACAACACACACAGGGACCACGGGGAACAAAAATAGCCCTCCTCCAGGCGCACATAAGATAAATTTTTGTTAATAGCGTATTGGAATGCCTTTTTAAATTTTAACTCCTGAGTTTAGTGTCACTTTAAGTGCATGATTTAAAGCGGAACCCCGGGCAAATGCAAAAAAAGTATTTTATTCTAGTTATGCAATTGGAGCAGCAGTCTGATGGCAATGGGTGAATGGTTGGTGTAAGTATAGCAGGTGGCCAAGCACATTCTCTTGGCTTAGGGACACCATGCAGGTCTGTACTCTGTGCTGGTTTCTCTTGGGACCGGTAGATCCAAACCTGGCGATCAGGTTCAACAGCTGGTCAAACTGCAAGCAATGTTGTATTAAATAAGGAGATTTTAGAAAGTCATTGGTCCCTAGCGGCTAGACATGTCCATGGCTGGATTTACTCTCTCTGCTGCCCAAAGGCCAGGTTCTTCAATGTGTCCCCCTACCTGCCAACTCCCTCTCCCCCCCCCCCCCCTGGAGACTGGCAGAAAACGAGATTTCGGGGCCAA